ACTGTAACCCATCAAGTGAGGTCAGGTGTAGAGTTTTCCATTTGTGGCATCATGTTTGCCGGCACTCAAAAAGTTTTGAATTTTGGAGCATTTGGGCTTTCAGATTTTCTGATTAGGGATGCTCAACTTTACTTTAAAGTAACATAATTTATCCTTGTGTAAATATAGTATTTCACTTTCATATTAGTATGCAACATGTTTATATTATTAGACTTTTTTGAAAGAATTCAAACTTCAAGTTTGTTACCATGAAAATATTTTTAGCTCTTACATAGGTAGTAATAGTGACTGAATTTAAAATACTTTCTCTACTCTTATTTGAATATATTGATAATAGCCAATGTAGGTAGCTTTTCTTCATAGTACATCGTTAGTGAAGGAATTACTTCTGAATCTAAATTCCATTACTGTCTTCATATAAGCTCCCAGAACTTTATGGGTGGTAACAAAAATGAATGAACATGTTACTTCTTTCTCCCACTCCCCAATGTAACTTCATGGCTTCCTTCATAAACTCCCATTGACTGTGAAAGAACGTGTACTGCAGAGATATGTTGAACTGGAGTATTTCCATAGAACCCTCCCCTCAGGGAAGGAGAGTACCAATAACAAACTTTCTGAGAGAGACTTATAGAAAGGTATTTTATTCCAAAAGGGAGAAAACCAGATTAAATACTACCAGTGTCTACAATTACCTGATGATAGTTTTAAAAACCAGTAACAATAAAAGTTAGATAAATTACATATAATTAATGTGTAATGAAATCAACAGTGTCTAGAAATATGGTTTTGGAATGATTGTTCCCAAGCCAACAAAGCTTGTGGGCTGAAGTAAGAAAAAACTGAATGGATCAACAGCAATTCTGTTCATCAAGAGTTAGATTGTAAGTTATCACATATCCTTTTAAGATTTTAAAGGTCTCACTACACAAGGTTAACAAATACACTTTGTGGGTATATTTTGAAAGTCTTTATTCAGAAGGAGATACATACGGAAGTATTTGGGGATGAAATATCATTAAGTCTCTAATTTATTTTCAACTGGTTTAGAAACAATAATATAACATGCAAGGTGTAAGAGAGAACATGTGTGCAAATAAGGCAAAACGTTAACAAAGGAAAAAATTATATCTCCTTCATCACTTCTTTCATTTATTAAAATGTTTTATTGTAACTGTTGAAGGGAGACCTACGTCCATCATTCGTTTAAATGATTTTATGCAGACCGGCATGGTGGCTCACGCCTGTAATCCCAGCACTTAGGGAGGCCAAGACGGGCGGATCACGAGGTCTGGAGTTTGAGACCAGTGTGACCAACATGGTGAAAACGTGTGTCTACTAAAAATACAAATATTAGCTGGGCGTGGTGACATGCACTGTAGTCCCAGCTATTCAGGAGGCTGAGGCAGGAGAATCACGTGAACCTGGGAGGCGGAGGTTGCAGTGAGCCGAGATCCTGCCATTGCACTCCAGCCTGGGCGACAGAGCAAGTCTCTGGGGAAAAAAAAAAAAAAAAAAAAATTTATTTAAATAATTTGAGTATGCCTTGAATTGTTCTTTATAGTGTTTGCCATCTTTCCCCAGGAATTATTGTACCATTTTAACTTAAGTTTATTTTTGAACAGCATGCATTTAGTTTAATGGTAGTAAAACCTCCTAAGCCATAGATCCTCCATCTGTTTCCATATTGAAATGAACACCAAGTTTCTCTAATGTCCAAAGTGCCATTTCTTCATTTTTCCTGTAACTTTTCTTTGGCACATGACGTTGAACCGTATGAAACTTTTTTCCTGACTAATATTTAAGTATGGAGTAAGAGTAATTTTCAGTAATAATTGTGATTTTCTTCCAACATTTTCTCAGAAAGCATATTCTGAAAGTGTGTATTAATATCTGTATGCGTTCTCAGCACAACTCTCTCTTCTAGTCTCTCGATCTAATTTGTTTCTAACTTTTTAAAACTTTCTAGACTAAATCTTTTTGCTTCCCTTCAAGCATTTTGCATTATACTACAAATCTTCTGAGACTCGAATAATTTTATCATACGGTTTATATACTCCAACCTTGAAGGTATTTCAACCTTTTTCACTAGCAGCGATACCCTCCATGACAGATAGTCAGTTATATTAACTTGATTCTATTGTAATTTACATAGTGGTAAAACAAAATAGTTTTAAACTTATAATCAAAATTATAACTGTTTAAAAAATTACCACCTAGAATTCATTTTATGCAATGGGAAAATATACAAAACTGTTTCGATAAATATATGAAATTATATAAGTTGGACATCTCTATGTAGTTTTTTCATCCTGTTTAACATGGTATGCCAGCTCTACAGTAGTTATTGACGGGAATTATGACAATGACTCAGACATTGATGATGCCCACCAAGTTTGCAGCATATTTACTGTAGATAGTACCTCCATACAGCCCTTTTGTAAAAATTTTAAACCCAAATTTGGTAATTGAAATTAACTAAATCAAAGAAGGCTGTGAAATTGACACATTTATTAGTAAACAATATGTGACAGTAGGGAGAATTATTTCTAGGTTCAGATAAATCTGGGTGAGAACCCAGCACTCACCCTTATTAGCCGACATGGAGTTTCTTCAAGTGTATAACTTGGTAATTCAATTGTTTATTTTGCTTATTTATTCAAGCATTCATTCATTTATTCATTTGGTAAATGTATGCTAAGCTGGTTAGCAGGCACAATTCTAGGTACTGTGGCTAAAAAGGGAAGTGAAAAGGACAACATCCTTGCTCTCCAGGGATTTACTTTCAACTGGGGAGACAGAAAGCAAGGTAGTTACATAATATAACATCAAATAGCAATAGGTCTTGTGAAAAAAATATCAAGGCCTACTCTGGATCAAGTGACCAGGATGGGAAGGCAAAAGGCCTCTCTGAGAAGGTGATATTTGGCAAGAAAGAAAGAGAAAGCCATGCTGTTGGTTGGCAAAAAATGTTCCAGGCCGAGGGAAGAGCAAGTTCAAACGCCTCAGTTTGTATTTCTGTGAATAGTAAATGAAAGTTTATAAACTCCTGACACATCGTTAAGTGCTTATTAGATATTAGATATAATTTAAAGATAATAAATGTGGATAATTAATTCCACATGTTATTATGTGTCTTCCTTGCTATAATGTACATCCTCCTTTTCATCTAGACCATTTTTCTTCTCTGGAATACTGTATTATTTATCCTGTTCTCAGAGCTGTTAGATTGCCCTCTTTTTAATTTGTAGTGAGTTTAACCCTGCTTGCAATACTCAAATGTTATTGCTGTCAGAGGTCCTGTTTTCTCAGTCTTTGCCCTTTTGCTCAACATTTGTATACTCTGAGTAATGCCTAATTGATTTTCTTGCTAAGTGTTGGGCAACTGCCCTCTCTAAACAGTAAATTCACAACTTCTCCGTGATGATGATAATGTTGATGCCCTGTGGGAACCTGTTGTTTTGTATGTGTGTGCAGGGAGAGGGGTGATCTAAAAATGGTGTCAAGATGTCATTTGGAAGATGGTACCTACAGAAAACACAGAAAACCCAATCACACCCCACCCCCATCTTCCCCATTTCCCAGCATGGTTTCTTGTTTACACTTCTCCGATTCTCCCAGAAGTCAGAGCAAAGTGACTGTTTACGTCTGTCTCTGGCTGTGAAAAAAAACACTACCAGAGCTCAACTCACTTTTATTGATTTCTATATTGTTTGGCTGTAAAATATTTATTCTCACTTGTATCAGTTTAGGTCCAGTCAGAGAAAAAACACAGTCATTTGAACAGTGAAAGTTTATACAAATAATTATTAAATGTAACAGGGGATTATAGTAATGAAGGGATTGGCTATTGTGAAAGAAAGATGTATTAGTTTGCTCAGGCTGCCATAACAAAATGCTATAGACTGAGTAGCTTAAACAAAGGATATTTATTTCTCACGGTTCTGGTGACTGGGAAGTCCATGATGAAGGTACAGCCAATTTGGTTTCTGGCTTTCAGATGGCTACCTTCTTGCAGTGTGCTCACATGATCTCTTTTTTGTAATCACGATGGAGTGAAAGAGAAAGCTCTCTGGTGTCTCTTCTTATAAGGGCACTAATCTCATCAAGAGTGTCCTTCTCATGACGCTCCTCATCTAATCCTAATTACCTCCCAAAGAAAGGCCTCATGTCCACATACCGTCATATTGAGGGTTAAGGCTCCAGCATTTGGATTTTCAGGGGAGGGCATAAACATTCAGAGTATAGCAAAAGAGAACCCTTAAAAATAGAGGAATGGCTACCATTAGCCCTGGGGCTGAGACAGCACACCTAAGAAAAAGTCCCTATGTTTTCATCCCCAAAGCAGAGATCTGCACTTTATTGGGAAGGTACGACCATAGTTTACCGAATGGCAGAAATCACTAAGTTCCTATACTAGCAGAACTTGTCAGAAATCTGTCTTCTGCAAGTTAACAGAGACCCTCCCTCTAAGGTACCTGGGAAACATCGCCAAGCTGCTGGTTGCCAAGCACTGTTGGAGCCAGGTGCTGAAGAAGCCTTGCACACTGCAAGAGCCTGCCAAGTGAGCACACTGAAAATAGGAAGTAAATCCCTTTCTTCCTGAAATGTCTCACCAGTGCCCTCTCTCCACCAAGCTTCAGTGCCAGCTAGTAAAGAAAAACATATCTCAAAGGCCCAGATCTATTTTTACCGAGCAGGCAGAAAGGTACATTTAGAACTAAGAGGCAATAAATCAATAACCAGCACACTGGTATAAACTAATAATAAATGACAGCAGAAGCAGACTAAGTGAAGAATACATTGTTTTTTAGCAGAGTCCACTACTTTGCAGGGCCATTCTTAGTTTGATTCATTGCTATGTGCTGTGTGCCTAGAATTAAACCTGACCCAATATGGATGCTCAGTAAATATTTGTTGGATGAATGAATAATCTAATTGCTTATTTTTTCCCTCTAATGTTTTTCCTCTCTTTCTCTCTCTCTCTTTTTTTACTATAGCTGATGGATGCACTGATTGGTCTATCGATATCAAGAAATATCAAGTTTTGGTGGGAGAGCCTGTTCGAATCAAATGTGCACTCTTTTATGGTTATATCAGAGCAAATTACTCCCTTGCCCAAAGTGCTGGACTCAGTCTGATGTGGTACAAAAGTTCTGGTCCTGGAGACTTTGAAGAGCCAATAGCCTTTGATGGAAGTAGAATGAGCAAAGAAGAAGACTCCATTTGGTTCCGGCCAACATTGCTACAGGACAGCGGTCTCTATGCCTGTGTCATCAGGTATCCCTTTAATTATATTACCGCTGAATCAAAGAAATCACAGGCTGCTTTCTCATACTTAAATTTTGCTGCTATCTCTTTTGCCTAAAGCCGTTGTCTCAATATTTGCATGTGTTGCTGCTTTCTAAAATTTAGAATCACAATCATAGAAAGATGGGATTGGAATTTATATTAGACATTATTTCTAGCTTATGGAGAAAAGAGATACCATCTGGGTAGCTACTTATGTTACCAGGAATTACTAAAAACTATGAAATAAAATTTATAGAGGAAGTAAAATGGTGCAAATAAAATGTAAGCAAAGACTTGCAGAATAGATGCATAGTTTCTTGCTAAATGAGTTGTAACATTTTGTTATTGCCCTTCACAGACAGATAGAGCATGGATACTTCTGGTTCACACACATTTGTAAAGATGATTTAGGTAATGTGTGTATGTGCACAGGGAGAAGAAGAAAGTATTACCATGTTAGAGAAAATGAAGACTGTGTTCCAGATTGCTTTGCTAACCAAAACTTCTGGATCAATACAAAAATTGTTCCCAAGTCTTTCAGGGCCTATACCAAAGTTAATAACAAATTCAGTCCCTGTATCCCCAAGGATACTCACCATACATCTACACATCTTTGTCAGCTTCTAGAAGAGGCATATGCACTTTGTTTAATGATAATGCATTGAAGCAGTATCCATGCAACACATTAGCAGTTAAAAACCTCAGTTTAAGCATGTAGCCCCCCATGGATTGTGTATCACACCCTTCGTGAATGATCGTGTATGTCATTGGACTATTAGAACATTAGCAAAACTGGGTATAGTCATATAGAAGGTGTGTTTAAATCTATTTATTTGGCTTTCTGTATTTGGGCTTATTCAGAGAAATAAAGAAGAATCTAAAGTAGTTGATACCCAAACTCAGAGAAAGTCTCAGAATCACCTAGTATCTTTTTCAAATAAAAATTTACCACTTCTGAAATCCTGATCAGCAGCTAACACTCCTGTCATGAATATCATGCCTCCCTCTCCCTGTCATCTGTAAGAATTACCTGTAAGCTGAGTCATGGCTACAGGTGTCCTAGGACATTGAAATAGGTCAAGTTGCATAAAAGTTAAACAGAAATGTATCTTTCTAACACTGACAACATATATTATGTTAATGTTGGAAAATATAAATGAATATCTGTAAAGTGTTGTGTTTGGGGAAAATGCCTAATGGATTTTAAAAGAACAAATACATCTGGCCAGGCGCGGTGGCTCATGCCTGTAATTCCAGAACTTTGGGAGGCAGAGTAGGGCAGATCACTTGAGACCAGGAGTTAGAGACCAGCCTGGCCAACATGGCAAAACCCCATCTCTACTAAAAATCCAAAAAATTAGCCAGGCATAGTGACATGTGCCTGTGATCCCAGCTGCTTGGTTGCAGTGAGCCAAGATCACACCACTGTACTCTAGCCTGGGCTACATTGTGAGACTCCATCTCAAAAATAAATAAGCAAACAAATGCGTCATTCCTTTGGCAACTCTTCTTCTTTCTCTTAGGGTTTACTAATCCTTTTATGATTAAACATAACTCTTAATAAAAGTAGAGATTTTGTAGGGGTAAAGATCAATAACTGTCATACTAGTACAGTTAAAGAATACTGTTTGGACTAGCTGTTCCCATGTGACCAATAGTAATTAGATTGTAATTTCATATCTGCTATGTTTCTTTTAAATAATCATTATTTCTGGTTGTTCATGCATGTGGTGAGATGATTCTTCAAGATAGGCAAATGCGTGTCCTCATTTATCTGACATTAGAATTGAGCTGAATGTCCATAGTACAACACTACATTTCGTCACTCATTATTGATGGAAAAATAATGGTGTTTTCACATAGTAATCTGAATTTTACAAACACTGAGGTTGCAGTTCTCTGATGTATTTAAATTACACTATGATCCAATACTCTGAGAAATTGCATTAAAATGCCTCTGGAAGGGCCGTGTATGGTGGGTTGTGCCTGTAATCGCAGCACTTTGGGAGGCCGAGGTGGGTGGATCACCTGAGGTCAGGAGTTTGAGACCAGCCTGACCAACACGGAGACACCCTGTCTCTCCTAAAAATACAAAATTAGCCGGGGGTGGTGGCGCATGCCTGTAATCCCACCTACTCGGGAGGCTGAGGCAGGAGAATCACTCGAACCCGCGAGGCAGAGGTTGTGGTGAGCCGAGATCGCGCCATTGCACTGGTAACAAGAGCAAAACTCTGTCTAAAAAAAAAAAAAAAAGCCTCTGAATTTCCAGTTGCAATAATGAATGAAAGATTGAAAAGTTTCCAAAATGTTGACACTTGCCATATGTTCATATGTCTACATTTTAATAAAAGGTGAAACTAAAAGACAAATACTTGAAAGTTTATGTGTGTCAAGTGGCAATCTAGAGAAAGGGATAAACTGCAGGAAGAGGTACTTTTGTCAGTGAAATTCAAATATGCCAATCGATTTGAAGCGAGTGTTGTTGCATCTTCCTTGTCCAATTTGGAAAGGGGTACTCAAAAGTCTTTACAAACAGCATTTGAAATAGCATGGCTCGGTGTTGATGTGAGAGGCGCTCAGGGGCTGTCAGTTGAGTCACTGACATTTTGGCATATTGCTAGCTATCAAGCCACTAACTGTCACCATTAGTTTTTAAATAATTCACTTGCAAAGAATTTTAGAGCCTTGAAAATGTTAGCTTCCATTCTAGGTTCTAGTCTTTCTGATCAATATAGAGTATTAACTTTTCAATGAAATTGTTTATCAAGCTTTTCATATAAAACTAATTTCCATTTACACTTGAATATATGCAATGAAATGGCATACCTATCATTATAATGAACAAGAACTTTATTATTTCCTTCTCTTAATATCTATATTGGACAGAATAATACCACACAGTTCTTTCCTCCATACTTCTTGGCTCTTTACTCAGTTTACTCAAATTTATATTTTTCCTTTTTACATGAAAAAGTGAATGAAGGAAAGCTATGTAACAATTTCTTTTGTCTTCTTTTATGGCCATATATAAAAACAAGTTTACTTTTAAAATAATAAAAATTTGATGGCCAGATGTGGTGGCTCATACCTGTAACCCCAGCACTTTGGGAGGCCGAGGCAGTTGAATTGTTTGAGGCCAGGAGTTCGAGTCCAGCCTGCATAACATAGACCTAGTGTCTACAAAAATAAAACTTTTGAAAAATTAGCCTGGTGTGGTGGTGTGCACCTGTAGTCCTAGCTACTCAGGAGGATAAGGTGGGAGGATTTCTTGAGCCCAGGAGTTTGAGGCTGCAGTGAGCTATGATCACACCACTGCACTTCTGCCTGGGCAACAGAGCAAGGACTTGTCTCTTAAAAATTAAATAAAATAAAATAATAGTTCCATATTCTTGACCTCCAACTTTTTAATTCCCCTTTTCATAGTTATGCACTATTAGCAGTTTCATATGCAAAGCTGTCTGGTACATGTGGAAGCATTCCAGTGCCCCCCAAATGGTAGCATGCTACGTTATTTAGCACCCTATTTTTAATTAAAATTTTATTTTTGAGATAATTGCAGGTTCATATTCAGTTGCAAGACATAACAGAGAGAGATCCCATACCCAGATTTACTCGGTGGTAGCATTTTGTGAAACTGTGGTACAGTATCATAATCGGGATATTGACATTGATACAGTCAAGATACAGAACAATGCCGTCATCTCAAGGGCCCCTCCTATTGTTCTTTTATAGCTACATCCATCTCTACCCAACTCCAGTCGCAAGCCCCTGTCAACTACTAATCTGTCCTTTATATTTATAGTTTTGTTAATTTATTAATGCAATATTAATGAGATCATACAGTATAGAACCTTATGGAATTGGATTTTTCACTCAGCATAATTCCTTTGAAATCCATCCAAGTGTTGTACATATCCATAGTTCATGCCTTTTTTTTTTTTTTTTTTTTTTTTTTTGCTGTGTAGTATTCCATGGTATGAACTACCACAATATTTATTCACTTGTTGAAAGGCATCTCTATTATTTCCAGTTTGGAGATATTAAAAAGGAAACTTCTATGAATATTCGTATTCAATTTTTGGTGAACATAAGTTTATGTTTCTGGAATAAATGTGCAAGAGTGAATACGGATTGAATGGTAGTTTTGTGCTTAGTTTTATAAGAACGTACCAAACTATTTTTCAAAGTCGCTGTACCATCTGATGTTCCCACCAGCAATGTATGATTTCTCCACATCCTTGCAGCATTTGCGATTGTCACTACTTTTAATTGTAGCCATTCTGGTAGGCATATTGTGATAACTCATTGTGATTTTAATTTGCATTTTCCTAATGGCTAGTGATTAAAATTTTCATGTGTTGATTTGCCATCTCTCTTCTCATCAGTCAAATGTCCATATTTTTGTACATTTTATAATGTAATTATTTATGTTCTCCTCATTGAGTTTTGAGAATTCTTTGTATGTTCTAAATATTAATTCTTTTCGGAGATGTAGTTTGCCAGTATTTTCTGATTGCCTGTAGGTTATCTTTTCATCCTTCTAACAGGGTCTTTTACAAAGCAGAAGTTTTTAATTATGATAAGGTTCAATTTGTGAATTTTTCCAGTTATGGACTATGCTTTCGGTGTGAAGTCGAAAAATTCTGCCACATGCTAAGTCCTGAAGATTTTTCCTTGTTTTATTTTTTATTTTTAAGATTTAAAAATTTGTTAAAAATTCAGTTGCTTTACATTTTACATTTAAGTCTGTTATTAATTTTGAATTAATATTTTTTTGAAAAAATGCTTATTTTCTTTTTATTTGTATGTATGCATTTATTTATTTTAAGTCCTGGGGTAACTGTGCAGGATGTGTAGATTTGTTACATTGGTTAACGTGTGCCATGGTGGTTTGCTGTCCCTAGCATCCCACCAACTAGGTATTAAGTCCAGCACGCATCAGCTATTTTTCCTGATGCTATCCGTCCCCTAGGCCACCTGCCCAGTGC